ACTTTTTGTGCGTTTTTCCCTTTATTTATTTCAAATACAAGTATAGTTAGCATAAATTTTGGAGCAAATTTGGATGCTCAGAATGCAGGAAATGACATTTCCGGGATTCAAATTTCAAACATTTTCTGGGGGAGTACTCCCCCAGACTACCCCCATTCATGCGTGGTATATTGGCCACACACGTAGCCTTCAGCCAATGCTATCCCCCTCTAATATATTATCTCACAGAAAAGTCCCTTTTCAAAAAATGCCCCCCCCCCCCACGGGAAATTCCTTAAAAAAGGCCCTGCATCCCTGCGGTACAGAACCCTAACCCGTACTGAATTGTCTCGATGAACGTTGGGCGCATTAACAGTCTGGCATACTAACACGATGTCCTCCACTTCTTCCGGGGCGGTAACGGCGTCTGGTCTCATGCTCAAGGAATATGCAAGGGTTCCTGTGATCTCTTTCGTCTTTGAACGAACGTTTTCTTGTCTTAATTACACCCCTGCCGTATTCGCTTACAAATTCTCGCATTATTTCCTCGCGCCTTTTGTTATCGTCTTTGTCCCCATTTCCCTTACTCGCAACACTTTGCTTTGTTGCACGAGAGGCCATGTTGGGCGGGTCGCTCTTGATAATTTCTCAGAGTAATACGAATTGGGTCCAGTGAAATACTCACTAATGTTTCCTTGTGTTTTCCCACTCTGAAAAAAAATAGCGAAACATTGGCAGGAAACGATGTTTCATAGTTTGCCCAGGACTATTCTTTCATGCTTTATAACTAGCGATCATAAGATGCACCAAATACGACGCGGACGTGACATGAAAACCGTTGCTAATGTGTGGAATCAGTTTTAATTTATTTTGCTTCACTTGTGTCTCTGACTTTGTTTCTCAAATGTCATGTATTTGGACTATTTGGTCATGAAACTTGACTGAGCCTGAACATATTTCCTGGCGTTAAATAAAAGAGGAAATGTTAACAAAAGTTGACAACAAATATTTCTTTTTCTTAATTAATAAAACAATGGATTCCAGAACGACCTGGGCTCTGGATTTCGGATTCCTCAGTTACTCGGATTCCGGATTCCACTGTCTGGATTCCGGATTCCTAAACCAGCAAAAAGTCTGATTCCGGATTACCTCACAAGGGGCGATATTTATGTTGTGTTTACATTCAAAAGTCAGAAGTGAGAAGTCGTTGCTCAAACAACAGTTAATATAGTTTACTTTGAGACTAATATTTCGCTTTCTAAGCCACAGTATTATATCAAATTTTCTGTCTTCTGAGTTCTGTTGTCTTATAGATATATATCTGTCAAAAGTTCAAATTTCAGCGAAATATATTCTGCATTTGATGCTGTATGCCCTCGAGTATGCCATCCTGTCCACGTTTTAAATATAAACGAACATCTTTAATATCCGAATCTGATAATTAATGGCGCATTTTCTTTCCTGGACAAGTATCAATGTCTTTAAATTCAATTTATGTGCAATTTTGACCAAAATTCAACCGATCGACGACTGCTTTCAAAATATAAAAATATTTATGTACTATTTATACCGCCCGTAAATCACTTTCCAAAATATAGAAGGTTCGCTGTGATTGGTCGATCGGAGGGAATGGAATGTGCAGCTCGTTTCAGCAGACGTTAGTTAGGAAGACTAATCATCTGGCAGTGTTGAAAAGAGTTAGAGCCAATTGGAAGCCGCCTTATTGAGGGTCTAGCTTCTGCGGAAAGTCCTTGCACATGGGAATATATTGTTTGGGTTGAAATTTGTTTACTTGCGTGGAGATATTTTGGAAACTATAGCCTTGAACTTCACGATGTTTACATAGAATAATATTGTGATCATCTTCTCGCATGTTCTGCAAACAACCAGCGTATATAAAATGCAAGAGCTATGCAACAGGCGAAATTTAAAATTTTGTTAACAATGGGCGCTTTCCATTGACACGGCCAAACCGGTCAGAACGGTCAAATTGTTGAATGGAACACAAAACGTTTGGGCTTCTGACCTATCTGACCAGAAAATTTAGATAACATTAGAATGAGGTCCAAATTCGCTAGATATTTGAGAAACATAGACCAAATCGTTCCATTGATACAGAGAAAAGAATTCGGGTCTGACCGGTCAGGCCATTAATAATTAAATTGAAAGCGCCCAATGCTCTGCGCCCAATGACAAACGAGCAATCGGGAAACTCGAGAACGAGTAGATCAGGATATTAGATTCTTCCGATATGCCACGGCTTCGACGAAAAATTCTAAAAGATTAAGCTCTCGTTGCACGTAGAAAAGTATTAGTAAAGTTACATGTATAAACGTTTCGAAGTTTGGGCGAACTGGAAATTCATATCGGCGCAATTAAAAGTTTCTCGGGTTTTATTTGTGTTGTGTTTACATTCAAAAGTCAGAAGTCGTTGCTCAAACAGCAAATTAGTTTACTTTGAAACTAATATTTCGCTTTCTATATAAGCCACAGTATTATATCAAATTTTCTGTCTTCTGAGTTCTGTTGTCTTAAAGATATATACATCTGTCAAAAGTTCAAATTTCGATTCAGCGAAATACATTCTGCATTTGATGCTGTCGCCACTAGATTAATACAGTATGCCCTCGAGTATGCCATCCTGTCCACGTTTTAAATCAGTAACCGAACATTTTTAATATCCGAATCTGATAATTAATGGCGCATTTTATTTCCTGGACAAGTATCAATGTCTTTAAATTCAATTTATGTGCAATTTTGACCAACATTCAACGGACGACTGCTTTCAAAATATAAAAATATTTATGTACTATTTATTCCGCCCGTAAATCACTTTCCGAAATATAGAAGGTTCGCTGTGATTGGTCGATCGGAGGGAATGGAATGTGCGGCTCGTTTCAGCAGACGTTAGTAAGTTAGTTAGCTAGGGTTAGAGCTATAAGAACGTCTGCGAGGGAGACTACTAGCCGTTAGAAGTAAATATTTCCATCTAAGCCAGTACTCATTAATATTCTCAGACACAGCGATGTCAAACGGGACACGCTCCAGTGAGCTCCGCAGTTCTGAAGCTCCCTCGTTTAAAGTCATAAACTTTACGGCAGACAGGTTTAGCTCGTTGAACCTTACTCGAATAAAAATCAATAATATAATATAATGGTCAGACGGGAATTTACTCACTTCTGGCCCATACGCACAAACATTTTCTAATATTTCCGGCAATTGCTGAATTGCATAACAAGACCTACTTATTTCCATGAATATGAGTTGGCTCTTTGACAAACTGAAACAAGAAATTATCTCCCATTAAATCACATATTAAATTCCCAGCAGAACTTCCTCCTATGAAGCCGGTTACAGACGAGCAAGATTTCTATGACAAGTTTTCATGTGTCAAGTTTTATTTGCTTGTCTGTACGCGCAACTTTGACAATTTTTTCTGTGACAAGTGCACTTGTTCAAACGCTAGCATGCTAGCTTTTGAACAAGTGCACTTGTCATAGAAAAAATTGTCAAAGTACAAATTTTGTTCGTCTGTATGGGTCAACAACCCACCGGGCACACGACGTTGTTTCAACGTTGAAATTTGGTAGAAAAAAGGTTGCGACGTCGACAACCTAATATCTACGTTGCTCTGACGTTATTTTACAAACGTTGGTTCAACAGCAGCCAACTTACGTTGAATTAACGTTCATTCATGGTCAAATGTACGACGTCGATTTGTGAACCAATCTCAACGTTGTTTTAACGTGGATTCAACGTTGAATTATGGTTGACGAGATTGGCAACCTAATTTGAACGTTGTTTCAACGTCGAAACAGTAACGTCGATCCAATTTGCATAGTCAACCCTTTTTCAACGTCTATCCAACGTCTGGAAGGTAATTTCCAACGTTGATTCAACGTTGGATAAACGTCATTTTGCCCGCTGGGAAAGGAAACTTGTCAAAATAATCTGGGCATTTGATGTGATTGGCCAGCGCTCGCGTTGTCTGCTGCACTATTACATTGCTGGCTACCAATAAATTGTCAGAGTAAACTGTTTGTTGACACGTACGTTCACACCTATGGTTCACACCAGTAAATAAAACTTGTCATATGAAAACTTGTCATATAAAATTTGTTGCATATACACACGTGCACTTGGCAGCTAAAACTTGTCACATAAAAAACTTATCATAGGAAATTTGCTCGTCTGTAAACGGTCTGTCTGTCCAATCTAGACCAGAATATTAAAATCACCGATCAGTTATAACACAGCTAGATTCAGATTTAGCTGTGCCGATTCATTGTTACTTGAGTCTGGAGGTCGGTAAAATGTGTATAAAATTAGCGACTTGCCGCGTGTACACACTTCAACAACGACCATTTGGGTATTTTCTCTGTTGAGGTCGCTACGACGCATAGTCCGATTTAGCAGCTACACTGAACACCACTACCACGCAGTCTTGCAAAGTTGCAAACCTTATCTAGTCGAAAGATCGAATAAGCAGGTAGTAATACACTGCTTAGAACTGTGTCATTTAGCCGAGTTTCACATAATAATTATAAACCGCTTCCATGGTTCCCTGGCACTTATATTAATGATATTACTATAGGTTATATTTAATAAAATCTGAATAAACTATTGCCATGAACTAGCCTGCGTGCAGCCTGACTTTCAAGGAGAAAAAGTTACATTTCCCCCTTTAAAGTCAGGCTACCCTGAACTTGTATCGTTAAAGTGGAAGTCAGGTCCGTATGTAAACAAACGGTAAAAATATGATGTACTAGCTGTCTGAATATCTTTGCAAATAGCTTGCTACACCAAATAACAATTTTGCGCCAGATATATTTTGACAAAAATTTCGTGATTTACTGAATTTTTACCCAGGTCGGCGCTATCACTTTGAAATCCAAGCATGTGTCACGTGATTAAGATCACCGGTGGTCTCGGTGTAAAGGTCACCGCTGGAATTTTTCATCATTTTTCATTTCACATTTAAAGTGTTACTCATGTATAGACTTGGATTTTAAAGCTACGGTATGGATGGATATTTCCTTCAAGACGAAGATATAATTGGTGATAATCCTGGAGAGTATAAATCTTTTGATCTCGTAGATTGGAAAGTTTCACCAACAACAGATTTTTCACTTGAGTCGCCAGAATTTAATTTTACTCCTGAAAATTTGCTCGATAGAGTTACGAAGGAAGACAGTACACTAGGAGATTCAGATAGTTGGTTTTCTGTCTTGAATACTAAAGAGTCTTGGTCACAAACGAAAACAAAATCATTGGAAGAAGGATATTTAAATGAGCAGGTTGTACCTGATCAAGGTCAGAGAGGAGATCAACTAGATCAGAATACCAAGAGTGTGCCAATTGAAGAAATTCAAAGTAATTTTGCTGAAACTTCAAAGGAAAGTTTCACTAAGGAAAATAATTGTAGCCCGATTAAAATTTCACCCAATATAATAATGGATAGTGCGTTAGAAGGGGTTAGAACACCAGAAAATTCAAACAATTCAATGTTTATTGTTGATCACAAAGAGCAGGTCAAAAGCGAACAAGAACATTTTGAAATACCACCTGCAAATGTCTCATTCTCTTTTAATCCTCTTTGTGAGGAGAAAATTGCCGAGAAAAATAATATCAAGGAAGTAATATCAACGGAATCGGTAAACTTTGCTGACGGGGAAAGCCAGTCTAGCCCCGTTCAGGCTACACTTGTGAGTGAAGACGACAACCAGTCAAAAACACAAAATAGTGGACACTCCACGAGCGAATCAGTTCAACCTGCTAATGTTGAAACAAATCTTACAATAAAATTAGAACAAAATATAACTGAACACCAGAATTGCAAACAAAACTCGAAGGAAAACGAGATTTTTAAAATCCGTAAAAAAATTTTCAAACTACTAACTATAACTAAAATTCCAAAATGTACGATGGTGGATTATAAATTTGATAGCAGCAACAAGCTTCCTTCGTTTGCCCAAACGTTTTGCGCTGATTTGTCGGAGGAGCAAAGCAGGAAATCAAGAGATATCGAACTCCCGGAGGTTCTGCAGAATGTAAGAGACACGAAGGATGAAGAGAATGAAAACGATGAAGAAATGTTCATTGTTTTACCTGAGAGTGATTCAGAATGTGAATCTAGTGACATTGAACAAGATGATCGCCTGGATCAAAATAATGAGTCAGAAACAATAAGCGAAGAATCTCTGGACTCAAAAGAATTACCTAAGATAAAGTTTAAATTAGAAGTAATGGAAGCCGAATCAGATACTCCAAACAAGACACAAAAGACGCAATATGCCGATACTCCTTCTAGTATCTTAGCTATAGACGATGAGTTGGAAAAATATTTAGTTTCAAGCATTGTGCTAAATGATACAACTCAAAGCGATGATTCTCATTTGCCTGATTTATCTAATAATATTGGATCAATTCTCAAATCTGAGGGACTGAGTGAAGAACATTCTATGGAATCAGTTTATGGCAATTTATTTTTAAAACCTGAATTGCAGGTAGACGGTATAAGAACTTGTAAACAAGAGCAAAACACAGACTTGAAACTAACTGAAACATTGAATAATTATCAAGGGAATTTATTTAATGCCGCTTTACTTGGCGGGGAAAGACCATGGCAGGAACACATTACCCAGGAAAATATACATACATTGTATGGCAATGTTTGGACGAGAAGTGTTCCTAGTGAAGGTTATCTCAATCAAATTAGTTCAAGACATTTAACTAACAATATGTTTCATATGGGCGATCCATTTATGAACAACGCGGATTTCAAGACAATGGCTGGTTTACCCGACGAAATCATGCAAACAGACATTGATCCTTTTAAATTTACTAACTTGGTTCCGAAAGTAGAAGTTATGGATTCCTCTCTAAATTATGGTTTCTGAGTCTCAATCTTGGCAAAACTACCTTGATATCATGAGTTTTTGTTTATGTAAATTCCACTCCCCAGAACTTGATAGTCACATACACATACCCCAAATTAATGTTACATCCGAATCAACATTGCATCGGGGAACGGGGGGTGTGGTAACAAATTTGCACAGCTCGTGAAAATATTCATTTGCATATAGCGGTCTCGAAGGATTTGTCTCAGGATGACAGAAACTAGAGTTATAGCTTGAACGGTCTGTGCTTCGTTTTTCTCAGCACGGACGTCATTTGCCGAGGGAGGACTGGATTAAAAACTGAGTTTTTATCAGTTTGTGATAATCTTCAACACGTAGGCAAATTTTAAAGTTTTTTGGTTTCTTACACGAGTGCTATAATGAGCAACATGGCGCCCAAATGAGTTTTAATCTAGCCTGAAAATAGACCTAGGCTTCGCCCGCCCTAAACGTAGGTGTGTTTTCAAGCTAGTTTTAATCAAGCTCACTCACCAGAAAGCAGCGGATTGAGAGATTCAACACCTGAAAAATACAAGCAAAACGTCGACGTTTCGATCGAAGACCCTCCGTCGGGAATTAGTAGTTCGCTTGTATTGTTCAGGTGTTAAATCCCTCTCAAGTTGCAGCTTGGTGACCATTTGGTCGTAACACTCGCAATGCCATGTCAGTTAGCCAATGTAATGTACTTAATGTAGTGAATGTTATAGTGACAATCTAAAATTTATTTGTATAAAACAGTGCAAAAAATGAATCCAAACTACTTCCTATCAGTCACTACTACTTGTTGGGGACAGCCACAACTACTTGTTGTTGGAGACAGCCACAACTAGACCTAAGATCAAACGAGGTAGTGAGAATACATGAAAGTTGACAGTCGCGCGATTTTGGTTAGCTGTTCTTAGTGCTTTCCCAACACTATCTGAATTATATTTAAGTAACTGAAACATAGTTGCAACACTTATCAAACCTTTATTTTGTTAATCTAGAGCTTGAAATGTCCCCCGCAACAAATGCGTGACTGCCAATTCTCAGGGTTTATATGGGCCTACTGACACTGGCAGCCAGGGCAAGTGTAACCTGCGTTGCCCGCCTTTTGGGTGTTTCTCGACTCACAAACCTCGTACCCAGGGCTTCACGGCTTTCTTCTTCACTCAATTAGCCTTTCTCACGCCGCCATTTTTGGGTGGCTTTTCAGCCGAAGTCTGCGAGATAAGTCAACATAACAGCGACTTTTTATAATTTTTTTGACGAATGATGGTAAATTTGCTTTGTAAATGATCAGTTTGTTTTGAAAAATTGCTTTTCACCAGCCTAGTCCCAGTCGTTCTGAAGCAAGCGCGAGAAAAAACGTGAATGCAGTACGAGACTGGGACCTAGGTGTGACGTCATTATTTAAATATATCAAAGCAGCGAATAGAGAGAGCCTGATACTAGGCTGGCTTTTCACATTGTTTTAATTGTCAAGCATTGGTTTCGTCATCGCGAAGGCTAATTACTTGCATACAATTTGAGTTTAATGAAACAAATTTCATTCTGTCATTCAGTTTCTTTGACTAACCATTGTTATTATATGGCAAGCATTTTTGACGAATCGTGCAATTTGATTGGCTGCTGACGAGGCAGGATTTTCCCGTATTGCCCACGGGCAATACGCAATTTTTAATTAGACCTTTCCCCTTTTATGTGAAATTTTGATTTAGACAAGCCTGGACAAAAATTTCATCACAGCTTGAAAGAACATCTTCGCAAGGCTATATTATCCGCATTTTACAACATTTTGCAACGAAACTTCGGAATATTACTAATTTTGTGATGCTCTTTCAACCTGTGATGAAATTTTTGTCCAGGCTTGTCTAGATCAAAATTTCACTTAAAAGGGGAAAGGTCTATTTTTATTGCCCAGCGACGAGAGCCGAGTTTCAAACAGCAAAAAGTGTCTTAAAGTCTTTCAAAACTATTCAAAACGAAGAAAAATAAACCTAAACTAAAGAAAAGGAGCAACTGCTGTGGTTAAAGAACTTTCTCCATACGTTTTTGTTAGTGAAAGTCAAAATTACAAGGTAAATTTTACAATGTTTATAACTATAAAAGCAGTCAGGAAGAGTTGTGTTTTGACAATGCGAAGAGCTGCAAATTTTATTTGCAGATAGCCAGGAGGAATTTGACATCCTAAATAAAAAATACAACTAAAACAGCCACAGATTTATAATTTTTCCCTGAAAATGTCTGTTTTTGTTAGATAAAAAGAGACATAAATATGAGATGAAGCGAACTAAAAACGTACTTGTTTTTGTAATTTTATTGAATTTTATTTTATATTTGTTGTCTTTGATTAAATGACGAAATACCTCGTATTTTTCTTAAAATACTATCCAAACTGTGTTAGTATTCTATAAAAAGTACTGTAGAGTAGTTTTACTAACCAAAGAACATTTTTTACAATTGTTTTTTTTTTTGCAAACTGTTTAGGACTTTGTACTTTGCCCTCGCATGACCTTTTCTTCCATGTTTTACAAACGTACAATGCCATAATTAAAAAAACTTACTGACCTCAACCGTTCGGGCAGTACGGGAAAATATCCAACCTCGGTCTTGCTGTATTGACCTCGCTATCGCTCGGTCGGTCAGTAAGTTATTATTATATGGCTTTTCAAAACTCTCTATTCTGATTGGTTGACAAGCGATCCCTAAAAACCCATATCCGAACCGTGGTCCGTATTTTCCGTATCTGGACTTTGCTTTTTAATTTTCCAATTGTGTGTCATTAAAATTTACAGATAAAAATTTCAAACAACCAAATTATTTTTGATTGAGCATGCATGCCTACCGTATATTGTTACCCAGTGAAACTGACGATAGGCGATTTAATTCGCGCGAAAAGCATATGCTCACAAACTCACTTCAGCCATATAATAAACCGATTATTGACCTCGCTTGTTCGGTCTGTACTGTGAAATATCAGACCTCTGTTTTTTGCATGGATCTCGCTCCTTCGTCGCTCGGTCCATACATAAAAAAACTCGGTCTGATATTTCACAGTAGACCTCACCCTCGGTCAATAAGCCGTTAATATTACAACATTAATATCATGACAAAATATATTATATCGAGGCGAATGTGCTAGCAAATTTCCCAATTTTTAAATAGAAGACTCGTGAGTTTGAGCAGAATTAGAGCTATCCTGTTAAAACAAAGATTAGTGTAAAATCAATAATGGTCACAACAAAATATGTAATATAAAATTTCTTATTCCAAAATATACACAATTTTAAGTATATACCAGCTCTATATGTATGTATATTTCATATATTTATATATATTATATCTGGTCTGCAACGTCGCTCGTATTACGAACTTTTTTATATAAAAAAGATAAAAACACAGACACGTTAATCTGCACAGGTCTATATACATATTCTTACTTATCTACAAGTTGAAAATCAACTTTCATATTTAATCTATTTCATTCAGGATCGCTCACGTGGTTACCATTTGGACCCAGTTTTCATGATTACATGGCAAACATGATTTGATTGGCTTTACTGAATATTGCTTGGGGCTTCGTTACCAGTTTCTTGGCGGAGCTTTGTCCACTCGGTCTCCTTCGTATATGCGATGGCTACGCTACCGAGGGACTATCTGTGACGGGTGATGGAGGTGGAGGGTCTGGTTCCTGTATGAACCCCACCTCACTGCTCGGGGAGGGGGGAGGGTTTTCATCATCTGAGAAGTAGTTTGTACCCTGTAATCCCTCTGAGAAATAGTTTGTACATATGGTAGGAGGGGGAGCATAGAGATCCTCCTCTCCAAGTTCATAGTCTTCGTCGGAGACTGAAGAATATGCACTAGATGTCTGTTTACGTTTATAATTAATATACTTTGAAACCGATGATTCAGCATCTGTAGTCACAGGTGTCGTGTAGTTCGGCATGACAGGTCTATGATACATGTGCAGTTCACATGTTGACGGGGATGGAGTGTTGTAGTACTTGCCTGAGATAGACGTAAAATGTGAACGATCTGTAACTGGTGATGGTGGAGGGTTTGTAAGAGAACGATGATATGTTTGACCAATTGCTGATTGAGATTGACCAGTGAGATCATCGCGGTTATAGAATGTATCTCCAGTATCTGTTGGGTTACTGCTCAAAGATATGGACGCATTAAGTGTGATTAATCCCTTAGGGTAACATTGAGTTCCATCGGAATCTCCTGTAAACGATGATTCGTGACAAGTCGTTCTTGTTTGGATATAATAAGGACTATCTTGTTTAAGTTTGGCTCGTTTGAAGAAGTATAACACAATCAACACGAAGATAATAGCGGCTGCACAAGTGAACACAATCACGATCTTATCACGGTGAGAGGATTCACCCCCTGATATATTTGGAGTCGCGGCTTCTGTGGCTGAAATGAAAAACGAAAAGGCCATGTTACACGAGGTAACTTTAACACCAGGCAACTAAGGATGTGCCTAATACTGTTTGCCGGATACCAGATGATACCGGTCAGGGAAAAATGATAACCGGATACTAATGTTGGTATTTGGTCAACATTTCAATAATTTTTTCTCCATAATATAGTCCATTTTTCAAATTAACTTATTAACCATGTGCTTTAGCTAATATCTGTGGCACAGGGGTCTGCGGGCAATGTAGGGCAGAGAGCAGTTTACATCTTGAAAACATCTTATGTGATGTATGCAGTTCCTGTTTTATGTGATGTATGCAGTTCCAGTAATTGTTCCTGTTTTATTTCTTAACACGCAAAAAAGACAAAGAAAACATTTCTTCGGTTTCATGGTTCTAATAAAAGCTCCAGTATAATCGGTAAATATCCAGACAAATTTTGCTGGATACTGCTGGATGTTTATTTTTACCTAGCCTGCGTAGCAGGCGTTTAATGTGGGCGGCAGAAGAGAGGGCGTCGTTGAGGAAACGCCTGCCCAAATGGCTATGACTAATGTGTTTTTGCCCATGCATTAAGAGTGATTGACGTTTTGTAATTAGCAGCTTCACTGGTTCACCCATTATCCAATCATAGTCGAGATTTATATTTAGCATCATTATATTTAGCAGTTGAGCATGTTTTGAAGTGTTATTCTTAAAATCATCGTCCAACTTCATAGCTGCAATGCCAAGTGACTTGGCCTCAGCTATCTGGTCTTGAATTATACTTTCGGGGGGACAAATAACAAGACAACTATAAGAAATATTCGATCCCTGCTCGTGCTGGCATGTAGTTAGCAAGCTTTGATTTGGCGATCCCGTAGCGTAGGAAGAATCGCGATAACGTCTTCACCACGGAGCAAATTAATAATAGACTTTCTCTGTTCTGGTTTCAACTGAATTTCGAAACCTAAAAGACTTGAAATATCAGAAAGAGTTTCCTCCAAAGCATTATTAGCCATATTTTTTAGGAGAATATATACGCGATTACGCGGGCAAAATTGTGACATTCGAGTTACGTAATTACTCCCGTCAACGAGATCGACCAATGAGAATTAAAGCCGAAGTTTTTTCGGTCAAAAATAAATTTGTCATAGCCATTTGGGCAGGCGTTTATTTAACGACGCCCTCTCTTCTCCCACCCGCTCTAAACGCCTGCTACGCAGGCTAATTTTTACTCGAAACCATTAGCCGTATCCAGCACATCCCTAGAGGCAACTTTAACTGCCATGGTGAGCAACAGTCATTCATTTAAATATTTTGCCTGAGGAACGTTATTAAATATACCGCTTTCTACACCCTGAATAAGGGAGTTTAAAATCTTGACTACGAACAACCGACTATACGTTTGAAATAGTTTTTGTTATGTATGTCAACCTCGTTTCCAGGGTCTCTCCTGAACAAGTTTATCCCAAATATGTTTTATGTGCATCGCTTTGTGTTCGATAAATTTCATCTTTTAATTTTCATCATTTCTTTATAAAAATACTCTCCAACCTTAAACGTTGCGTAGTCAGTTTCGGTGCTATAATGTTCTTGATTCGGTTTTACAACACAAGAATGTGATTTTTACGCTGTAGCCAAGGTCGCTACGGTGAAAAATATGCTCTGGGGATATGTAAATTTTGTCTGCCTCAGTTAAGCAATGCGAAAACAAGCTTTCAACCGTATTCCGTACCCATTGTCGGCACCTTAAACTTCCTAATACTCTCTCCTCCACAGAGGCTTTTGAAGGATAAACTTAGAAAGGATTTCGTGTCCTTAAGAAGCCTCTGCGGAGGAGAGAGCCCTGAATATGAATATGAAAGTGATTGGGCATGGCCAGAAATCACGGCCATAATTTATTCTACTTTCTTCGTAATTCGAATATCGCATTAAAATATAGTTTTAACAGTAAACAGTGAATTGTATAACGCGACGTTGTTAATCGCAAAATCTGAGAATAAAGAAAGTCTGTCGAAGTATTTAGTGTAATATTGGCCTGATTTCAGTTACTGCCTATGCGTATTTTCAATATTTGTACAGAGGTTAGTTTTTACGACATTTGTCTATATATCTCTAAATAAGAATGCCGCACCACTGCCACTGGGGAGGCAAACATTATACAGAATATTTCTACCGATTCTGTTTTGCAACCAGCAATTCAGGCAAATTGCTAACGTATTCTCCGATTTTGAAATTTAGTGCAACATAATTTACTGTTTACTGCAGCAACCGCATTTCAACTGGTGATGCATCAATTATATGCAACTTAGTAAGAAAATAGAAAAATTGGCTTAACTTCAGCCACTATTTCATGCCTGAATAGATTTCTAAACACCTTACCATTGCCACATAGGCGAGGATCTTCATCACTACGATCGGAACAATCACCCACACCGTCACATTTCCAAATAGCGGGAATACATTTGTCATCTGAACACACAAAATTGTCTTCCTTATCACAGGTCGTATCTGAAAAACACAACCAATATTCTTTAGATAATTTATATTACAACATAGTTCTCGCTAGTTATAGCTCTCATCGTATATGGCTGATACAGCAGACTCGGTATAATTTTTACATAGATCAGTGCCGGCGGAACATACAGTATACAGGGTGTATAAAAAAACGAGACCTTTAGAAATCGTCCTATTGGTGTAATTTGAATGGCTGAGCGCCACTAAGCCCACCGGGGTGTCAAATATTGGCAGGGTGCGTATATTAAAAAGCCGATTTTTAGGAATTAAAATATTCTTCAAGATATTATGCACCCATGGTAATTTAAATTTCTAATATACAGTATAAAATGTTAATTTACCATGGAATTTGCCAGGCATTCAAATTATAACAATAGGACGAATTATAACAAAAGGTCTCGTTTTTTTATACTCCCTCATGCATATGACTTTTTGCAAGCTAGATCCAATGATCTTAATAGAGCACAAATCTGATTAATCAATGGTAAGACTTTACTGTTTGTTTAATATATACGTATAGGTTATAAACCGAGCACACGGGATATAAGTCATACATGGTGTCCCCAAAAAAATCACACAAAAGAAATTATCCTATTGTTGTTAAGCACAGGATTTCATGCGCCTGCAATTAAAAATTCAATTAACTCTAGTGTTCAGCATAATGCTCAGGCATTCAAATTATAACAATAGGATAATTTCTATAGTGTCACTTTTTTGGGGGGAAACCCTGTATATATTGACCCGAGGGCCAGGACATAACTTGTTAATACAATTTGCCTCTGTGAGTTTAAATTGTAAGTTTGATTCCTGTATCTTGCTTAAAACATCCCCCTCTTGCCCCAAGACAATGTTGAATTGCGTTTAAATGGGGAACTATTGGTAACATTGGGTGGGGAGTTGGGTGGGGAGTTGGGTGGGGAGTTGGGTGGGGAGATGGGTGGGGAGAGGGGGGCTAACAAAGTTATTTGAATGTATTTTCATAAATTTTCGATCTATTTTATTAACACTTTTGTCCAAATACAGGTATATGATTTATATCCCACGTTCGAGGTGGTTTCCAAACAAGGTTCAAGGTTCAAAGACTTTCGATCAAGATATTTCGAGTTTTGTCGACAACTTTAATCTATTTATCTACTGCATTCACGGGTTATAACTCTAACATGTTGTACATCCGCGTTTAAAATAGTACATCTAGGCATAGTCCATAGAATAAGAAGGTGCAGACATAACAGACTCATTATCTATGCTTTATTTGTCTTGTTTCATATTAATCTGACACTGCAATCGACCAACGAAAAATTCGTTGGCTCGAGCGGGATTTGAACTCGCATCTTCGGGCATCTAGACCGCCGCTCTACCTATTGAGTTATCGAGTCAACAGGGATTGGTATAGAGAGTCTTATCCAATTTAAGTGCACGAAATATTTTCGTGACGAGACTGACGACTAACGCTTGTCTTAGAGGACGCGCAGTGTTTCAATTCTATTTCAGAACCATCCTCAGAGATACGAAAAACTAGTTTCATATTAATCTGACACTGCAATCGAATAACGAATTTTTCGTTGGTCGATTGCAGTGTCAGATTAATATGAAACTAGTTTTTCGTATCTCTGAGGATGGTTCTGAAATTAGTTGTCTTAGTTTATGCAAAATATGGTCGGTTCTTCGTCATGTTGTATTTTTCTTTTGACCAACCAACCAATAGCGGTCTGTTTGTTTAATTACCCGGTCGTGATATTAGACAATGGTTAAAAGAAAACATAGCTATTGGTTGCTCTTGCGAAAATAAAATACACACGTGACAAAAACATAGATAATGAGATCTATTACATGTCTGCATCGAGTTTCCTAACTTTCGTATTCTATTGACCAGTGTTGTAGTACTCGAGTCCGGACTTGAGGGCATGACTCGGACTTAAACACATCGGACTTGGACTCGATATCAAAGAACTAGGACTTGACACCTCTGGACTTGGGAATTTAGGTCAAGTCCTGTACGAGTCCACCACTTAAATTTCCTCGTTGGCATATACTCATTGCTTCTAGAGCTGTGCGGTTCCAAAAATTTTATCTCGGTTCCGTTTTTTTTGGAAAACAGAAAAACCTCGGTTCGGTTCGGTTTCGGTTATTTTCAAAAAAAAAAGAAGAACAGTACAAATGTATGAACTCATTTATGTATGTTTCGAGTATTTTTACTAAATAGATGAATTTATGCCTTCGTAAGTTTGTATAAATCTCTGAATATTTTAAAAGAACAATTGGAATTTATTTATGAAGATGAAATATTTCTTTTTAAAAAAAATTCAAGCAAGTTCACAACAGTAACTATCACAACTAAAATATATATATCAACTATTTGAGCACTTAGTACAGTGCATATTGTGTACAAAGAGCACAATCTTGTTATTTTCCAAACATTTCAACCTGCAATCAGGTGGGCGTTTGGCGGGCGTTAAACAGGAAAATAAAACAGAAACTATCGGTTAATTCTTTTGCGTATAATTTTTCGGTGCTAAAAAAGTACCAGAAGAACAGCACAGCTCTAATTGTTTCGAACAAATAAATTATGGCCCCTCCCTCTCTCCCTCCCTCTCTCTCTCTCCCTCTCCCTCCCTCTCTCTCTCCCCCCCTCTCTCTCTCTCTCTCTCCCTTCCTCCCTCCCTCCCTCTCCCTCTCCCTCTCTCTCTCTCTTTACGAAATTCAATACTTTTAGATATTTGGACACATGCATGCACTGCATGTAATGTAGGGCCTTCAGGGTTGTTTTCAGGATTTTCTCTTGGGTCCGTATTTGCAGAGAAGATTGAGTTTAGCTGAACAGCTGGGGGTCTGGGGCAGTTGTGGGAGGCTGACACCTGTACCCAATAAGTGTAGTTGAGACGCAATGTGTTAAAGCAGGGTCACTAAGGGACACTATAAGCTGGTTAAAGATAGCGAATGCGTTGTTTTTCTTTCATTGTGGAATGAATTCCAACCATTTTTTCTTGATTGTCGGGTTTCCAACTGAAACTACAGTAATTTAATTTGCACATGTCACGAATTCAACTCAAAAAACTTCATTTTTACTGCACTGAAACTTTTCGTGAGAAGATCGAGTTTCAAAACTCAATTCAAGATTGAGTTTTTGGGGCCGTTTTACGGTCCTAAAAAATCCCTGAAAAAACCCTGGCCTTATACTGCTTTGCACTAGTGTATATGTTTTAAACTCGAAATTGAATATCACTATAGTCTGATCTGTTTGCAACTGGTGGCGTAGCCATGGAGACCTTCATTTTTTTTTATTTTTTTTTTTTTGGGGGGGGGGGGCGAAGCGAACGCCGAAGGCGTGAGTGTGCTTAGTGGGGTCCGGGTGGCATACACCACCGGAAAAATTTTGAAATCTACAGGGTGTATCAAAAAAAGCGCAATCCTCGACTGAAATGTAAATTGCTAAACAAATAATAGACGAAAACGTTAAAGTTTACATTCATTTTAAAGCGTAGCCATTCAGCTTTCTAACAGTGGGTTGTTTCTTAAATTTGACTCATTGGTTCGCGGGTAATAATACTTTACGTTATTGCGATTGGAGATTAAAAAATTGAGATGGAATAACAAATCGTTCTCATGAAAATAACTGATTTTTTCATTAAAACAAAAAAATGTTGCATTTTATTAAATGGAATGTAACAATAAGTATAATTACGGCTTTTCTTCCACTATTTTTAACTCAGTTTGAAACTTCAAATGCGATATAGTTTTGGCTTGGACCATCTAAACTGACTGACATCAACTTGCTATAATTTCTGTTTACATTACATTGCAATTCGATGACACTCTGGCTCAGACACCAGAATGTTTTGACGATTTTTAGCATTCGTTTAGGATTTTCAAACAACCTGGTCTCTTTTAAAATACTTTTAATTTGTTCTTACGTGGTTTTCCAGATGTAGTGACGACAACATTAAAGTTTAAAGAAGAAAATTCTAACATTTAAATCGACTAAACAATAACATATAGTAAACTTGCATAATTAAACAGCAACTAAAAATGATAGGTTTTACTAAATCTTTTCCTGTGCAATTATTACTAGCATTGGAGACAAGGATAATAGTTTGTTTGAAAGAGAAAAGAACAGGCTTTGAAGTAAGCCTAAAAGCGTTTAACTAGAAATAGTATTTCGAAAGTTATTAAGCACAAAAGATGAATTGCGTTTATTTTGATACACTCTGTAGAGTCCCTGAAATGCGATTTCAAGCATTTTTGGGATGAAAACTTGCAGAATTCCGCAGATTATATTAAAGTAGGTCGAAGACATGAATTTTCCCAGACATTTCTCCTCGGAATTAAATACCTTAGAAATGTCACCTTGAAAAACAGGAAGAGGAGTCAGTGTCACCTTCTTTCCCCTCTGTGATGCTAGGGGGAGAGAAAATCCCAATGTGATTTTGATCAGAAATATTGCATTTAAATAATTCTAGGTTCTATGAGACAACATTTCTGCATTCTCCAAATTGCGTTTCAAGACGTACTTCGAGCATGTAATGTGTACCCCCTCCCCCCAATTTCTCTACAGATTTAGCCTTTTTGACAAAATGGTTTTTTGTGGCGATTGGGGGGCGGTCGCCACCTCGCCTATACGCCACTGTCTGTTTGCCACCACCATATTTATACTTTGATTACATCATGACTTCTGCAAAAATGCATTAAGTGCCTGTGGATTTGATTATACATATACTTTATCATTTCGGACTTGGACTTGGACTCGAAATATTTAGGACTCGGACTTGAAAAGTTTGGACTTAATTGAAATTTTGCTAGGGACTTGGACTTGTACTCGGACTTGAATGCATAGGACTCGGACTTGGACTCGTAAGTTGTGGACTCGACTACAACACTGCTATTGACTATGATCTTGGTATACTGTACTTACCACAAGAATCAGAATCGTCATTGCAGCGTGGCACACCATCACACTGATCTCTCTTAGGTACACATTGTTTATTGTCACACTGAAATTCATTCTCCTTACATGGAGGGCAATTCTCCTCATCAGAACCGTCTGGACATTCAAACGCTCCATCACATCTCCACGCTATGTGCACGCACTCGCTATTCTTACAGCGGAAATTATTTGGACCACACGTTGGAGGAACTATAGAAAAAATAAATCCATATTATATAGCATAATAAAAACATGTTTTGGATTATTCACCAAACCCAGCATTCTCGAGTTGCAAGAAACATCCTTCAAGTTCACCCTGTCACAACCCGCACACCCGAAAACCTATATGGTTTCAGCTCGACTGCCCTCTGTAGTTGGCGAGAGCTGCACCGGATTCGCAGATTCGATTAATACAAATAATTTTTGCGGGTTTTTTTCAGAATTTTTTGCCAAGTCCGTTTTCCCTCAAAGAGGGTATGGGGAAGGGTGGAACCCGGGGGAGTCCAAGAGTCCGGAGTCTTCACGACGGTATAAAACTTTTGCGGAGTCTTCACGGCTGTTGTTTCACTTCATTTGTATAATGTGCAAAAATCAGTTAAATGCAAAAAAGGATAGCATCCAAATCCTTGGTTTACTTTTTCCATATGGTCTTTGCTCCATGCACGTAGGCCTATAGACCCACATTGCACTGACGTCACAAATCCTTAGAGTGTCCTCCAGATGCTCCCATCTGTTCGGGTACAACAACCACATTCAGCGCAAAAATTAACCATTTTAATACAAAATTATTATAAACTTTTACAAAATTTGCTTTGTTTACAAAAGTTATATTATGCATACATTGCTAATTTGTCGTCCAGATTCATGATCACCGGCGCTGTGACGTCATGTGCAATGGGTCTATTTCATGAAAACAATGCTTTCGTTTCAACAATATAGTTTACATACAGTATACGCGATTGTTTTTATGTTAGGCTGCGTGCCCGGACCAAAATGCCCCACTGCCCTCCCCCCTATCGGCGGCCCGTTTATGTTTGTACTAACTACTGTATAAAGTGAACTAAGAAAATCAAGTCTTTTCAACACAATACACCATTTCAATATAAGATATAATTGATAGCTACCAAATAAATCGAAATTTGAAACAATATCTACTGTATATGATAGAATCTCGCAAGTAGGAAGAAAAACTCAGGCTTTATTCTTTTTAAAGCTGTAAAAGAAAACTAAATACTTACATTCACATGTGCGTTTGTTGTCTCCAAGATTTAAATACTTGGGACATGAGCAAACAGCTTGACCATGACTGACATAACAAACATGGCTACATCCACTGTTGTTCTTGATGCATGGATGATTTACTGGTAAAAAATGAAAATGTTTCAACAGATTTTAATTAAAGCTAAAGTGCTACCAAGCTAACAAAGTTTGACACCCCACACAACAGATGGTCTGAGCGTTATTTACAGTACATGTATAGTCTCTCAGGATTAAGGGTGGGTAAGAACGAACTACAATTTTCAAGTAGTGAGTGGTTTTTGACTACTTGTTTAAATTGTATATAGTTGTAGCAAAATATATTTCTTAGTCAGTTCATAAAACCATAATATTGTGACCAGCGCATTGTAAATAGAGTGAAATAGGATAATGCTATATAGCAAAATCGCGTCGAATTGCATACACATAAATATCTATTTCCAAGAATATTTTATTAAGCTTTTAATGTACAGTAAAATTATTAAGGTTTATTACTTTATTTCTAACATTTACTTGGTAATATCGTCGCTTTATATTTAATCTTGGCTTGGACTCGTCTGTATGTGCGATTTCTCTCCTAAATCTCCCTCTCATAGAAAGGGACTGCCATCCTAAGTCACACTTTCTACACATATGGAGCTCACTGGTCGTAGTGCTTTTTTAGTGTTCCTGTATGGTTTTAGTGTTGGCTACTAACTTCCCGACGAAAGGCCTTCACTCGAAACGTCGACGTTCTGCTTGTATTTTCCAGGTTTCTTTCTCACACTGCCGCTGTCTGTTATATCATGACTACCTACACTGGCACTGACCTTACCTAAGAAGCTGTCTGTTATATCATCGCTATACCTACACTGGCACTGACCTTATCTAAGAAGCTGTCTGTTATATCATCACTACCTACACTGGCACTGACCTTATGTCTGTTATATCATCACTACCTACACTGGCACTGACCTTACCTAAAAAACTGTCTGTTATATCATCGCTATACCTACACTGGCACTGACCTTACCTAAGAAGCTGTCTGTTATATCATCACTATACCTACAGTACACTGGCCTTATCTAAGAAACTGTCTGTTATATCGTCACTATACCTACACTGGCACTGACCTTATCTAAGAAGATGTCTGTTATATCATCACTACCTACACTGGCACTGACCTTATCTAAGAACCTGTCTGTTATATCATCACTACCTACAGTACACTGGCACTGACCTTATCTAAGAAGCTGTCTGTTATATCATCACTACCTACACTGGTACTGACCTTATCTAAGAAGATGTCTGTTATATCATCACTACCTACACTGGCACTGACCTTATCTAAGAAGATGTCTGTTATATCATCACTACCTACACTGGCACTGACCTTATCTAAGAAGCTGTCTGTTATATCATCACTACCTACACTGGCACTGACCTTATCTAAGAAGATGTCTGTTATATCATCACTACCTACACT